TGACTCAGTCGATACTGCTTTTTATGGCAACGGACGTCTCTCACCCCACCCCACACACGGTGGGCGGCCCGAAGGGGAAAGCGTGGGACTTCCGCCTCCCCAGAAAACCAGTCTCGCCTTCCAGGAAAGGCGGGCGAGTGGGAAGAAAAAGAACTACATTCCCTTTGCATACATACGCGGCTCTTGGACCTTCCAGTACTCTGGCCACCTCTCCTTCCCTTCTCGCTGCTAACTCCAGAGCCGCAGTTAAAAAACAGGGCGAGGGGGATCCAGAGGGGCCCAGAGAAGCCTCCCCTAGGAACCCCATCAGGAACCCCCCCCCAAAGTCCCTCCAATCTGCGCCTCTGACTACTTAACTCGCCTCCCGCCCCAGGAGCCTTACCTTACAGCCCCCCCAATCCACAAAGCGTCTAGCCCGACTGCCACCGAACTGTTGCGCTTCCTTCTCGGACTTTTCCTTCTCCCGTCTTCTGCCACTCCTCTCGCGTCACTCCCCGCCTGAACTCCCCTCTTCCCCGCCCCGCCCGCGTAACTCCAGGAGAGCGCCCAGCCAGCTGCTCGTCATGTGATGGAAAGGAAAGGTTGGGGAGGGAGGAAGACGGGAAGCGGACTTACCCTCAGGTCCCAGTGAGTCAACAGGAAAGGCGGCGGGGGAAAGGTCCCGGTCCCGTTATAGGAGCGAAGGGGGGGTCTGACGCACGCGCGCGCCCTTTCCCTTGCGCGGTGGCGCTTCCGTAGACTTTTGCGTGGGACTGCTCCGGAATCTGGAGTAGCGTCTGAACCCAATAAACCTGTTGGTGTTGGTTGCTGAGACTTACATAGCCAGTTAGCCACTACCCAGGCGGGTAGCCTTGTTGGTTTGAAGCAGCACAACAGAGTTTGAATCCAGTGTATGTCATGTCCCCTGACCGCCACCAGAGCTTGACTCTGTAAGAACAATGGGAACTAGGCTCCTAGTTTCTCCACTGGGGAGCCGATAGGACTGTGGGGGGAGATTTAAACCCACCAATGGGACCTAGGGGAGTGTCCCCAGGTGTGTATATAGTTTGCCAGCCGCCCAGTAGTCTTTGTCTTTGTTGTGTACCAGTAACCATGCTGATCACTACATCCCTATTAGTGGTTTCTACATGCGTCTAACCCACTACACTTCAATGGCAACGAGGATGGGATTCCACTGAGCATTCCAGCTGGGCTGTCGGGACTCTGGGAGGGAAGACAATGCACCGCTACCTACGCTCCCCCGAGCGATGAGCAACGAGGGTGAGCAAGCCACTTCCCAGCCACAGCCGCAACCGATCAGCACAATGGCCGTTGCTCTGGGGTCAGGGCTGGTACCGCCATTTGATACAGCCCGTCCACAGCAATGGGGAGCCTGGATCACCGGCCTGAAGTCAGTCCTGGTATTCTACCAGGTGACGGATGAGGCCAGGAAGAAGGGCCTCCTACTCGGGTCATGTGGACCCGCCATCGTAGAACTGGCCCAGTACCTCCTCTCCCCTAAGATGCTTGATGACTGCACCTTCGATGAAATTGTCACGGCCGTCCAGAACCACTACACACCGAAGCCTTCGGAGATGACGTGCCACATGGTGTTCCACCAGCGGAGTCAGCAAGGCCGCGAAACGGCCATTGCTCAGGGGTCAGGGCTGGTACCGCCATTTGATACAGCCCATCCACAGCAATGGGGAGCCTGGATCATTGGCCTGAAGTCAGTCCTGGTATTCTACCAGGTGACAGATGAGGCCAGGAAGAAGGGCCTCCTACTCGGGTCATGTGGACCCGCCATCATAGAACTGGCCCAGTACCTCCTCTCCCCTAAGATGCTTGATGACTGCACCTTCGATGAAATTGTCACGGCCGTCCAGAACCACTACACGCCGAAGCCTTCGGAGATGACGTGCCACGTGGTGTTCCACCAGCGGAGTCAGCAAGGCCGCGAAACAGCCGCGGAGTTCCTTGTGGAGCTCCGCCGCTTGGCATCCGAGTGCAAATTTGGGGCACACTTGGACATGGCCCTTCGAGACCGTTTCGTCACAGGACTACGGGAGGAGAAACTACGGCGGC